GGGGCAGGATGGGGCCCGCGTTGGCCTCGGTGCCTGTCTCCTCCAGGGGGCTGCTGGTGGGATGGGTGGGCACCCGGCTTGTGCCAAGCTGTGTGGGGTGAGGGGCTGTGAGCCACACTGGGGGGTCCTGGGGTCCAGCTCAGCCCACCCTCCCATCCCTGCAGCCCTGAGGATGGTGCCCCAGAGCCAACAGCACTGGGGGAGGAGGTGACACCCCAGCCTGGGGGGACAGAGCAGGGTGCCACCGCATGGGCTGCAGGGCACAGGGTGCTGCCAGCGGGGTGAGCAGCTGCAGCCCAGCACCCCCCCCACTGCTAGACGCCGCTGCCCTGAGCCCCCCGGGCTGGGCATCCATGGGGCAGGGGGGGAACACCCTGCTCCCAGCACACCCTGCTCCTGTCCTCCCCCCCCGCCCCGTCCCCCTGGGGCTCTCCCTGGGCTGTGGGACAGGTTGGGGGGCCCAGGACATGGTGGTCCTCAGGACTTCGGGGGGTGGGCGGGCTGTTCCTCCAGACCAGCCCCTGCACTCACCCTCGGCCGTGGGCTCTGCTCAGGTGTTGGGGGAGAGGCCGGTGCCCTGGGGGCTCAGTGCCAGGCTGTCCCCTCCACTCACTCCATGAGACACCTCAGCCCTTGTGAGGTCATGCAGGGCTATGACATCATCACTCCCCCAAGCCCCTCCTTGGTGTGGGATGCAGCCACAGGGGCCCCATACCACCCCCCCAAACCCCAGAAGAAGCCTCAGTCCAGTGCAAAACTAACCAGAGTTTATTGCTTCACGAGCCCTCCCCGACCCTACAAGACCAGGGGCTTGAAGGCACCAAGGGTTAGGGGACAGGGGGGACGCAGGTGACCCCATAGGCACTTGGGGGGACTAAGGCACGTTACTGCACATCCCTGGCAAGGGCCAGAGCTGCGCTTGGGGCAGGCAGGAGCAGTCCCATGTACAGGCAGGCACTAAGGTTACGGGCAAGGTGGGCCAGGCAGGGGTTAGTAGATGCTTCTACAGAGGCTTGGTGGGGGGCAGGACCAACATCACCCTCAGCCCAGAGGATGCTACTGCATCTCCAGGTCCACCAGGCGCTGGCCCGAGGGGGCAAAGGGTCCCACCAGCCAGGTCAGGGGGGTGTTGTGGGCCACGTGCTCCACCAGCTCATCCATCAGCTGGCGGGCTTTGGTGGCACGGGCACGGGCTTGGGCCAGCACACTGCCCGTCACGTCCTGGAGGGAGGCGGCGGAGGCAAGGGCTGTCCGTAGCTCCTCCACGTTTTGCCGGACCTGCCCCGCCGTGTCCTGGCTGCTGGGGGGGAGGCCCTGGAGGCTGGACACCAAGGGCTGGCAAGAGCTCTGGAGCTGCTGTGTCAAGCCCTGCAGCATGGCCAGCGTGCCCGACTCCACCGGCTGCAGGGGGACAAGGGGGGGGGCAGGGGGGGGGAGGACACCAGGGCACCCCACCCCTGCCCTCCACCTACCTCTGGTGGCACCAGGTCCTTGCCACCACCCGGTTGCTTCTTGCTCCACTCCAGCCACATCTGCTGCAGCTTCTCCTGCCCTCCCTGCAGCTTCTGGTCCATGCCCTGCTTGAGGTGCTCCACCTGGGAGGAGAAGCAGAGCCTGCCCTGGGTGGTCTGCCACAGCCCCAGGGTAGCATGGAGGGGGACACGGGGATGGGTCCTACCAGGTCAAGGGTGCGCTGGAGCTGGGCCAGCACGTCCTGGCTGCTGCGGCGGGCGCTCTGCAGCTTGCCCAAGGAATGCTGGAGGGCTCGGTGCCGCAGCTTGGCTGAGAGGGAGCCCAGGCGCACGAAGTAGCTCTGCTGCTGCTTCTGCTGCTCTGTTTCAAAGCCCTCCACGGCCGTGGCCAGTTTGGCTGGAGGAGAGGAGCTGCTGAGGTAGCCCCAC